AAAAGTGATGCACACAGCTGGGACTGGAGCGCTTGTTTACTTTCGGGATTATAAAGTTGACCTATATGTCAAAGAGTTGACCGCATCCCAGGACTAACAGTAACAAAATGCTTTAAGGAACTACTTGCAAATGGTCAGTTGAGCAGCCACAAACCCCATTATATGTAGGATTAAAAATCTATCAAATCATATTTAGATATGTTTTAACTCAGACAGAAACAAAAGATGGATTTAGACCCAGGATGCTGAGTTTACTTGACTTCTGAGCCATTACAATGCTTATTTCCTACTATTTAGCTGCTTAACATCCGAATTGTGAGATCAAATCTGGATAAATTGCTGTTTCTCCCCCTGCAGACCCAGCTTACAGCGAGCTAAACCTGGAAACTCGTAGGCAGCAGCAGGACTTTGTCAGCGTTCTCAAGGTAAAAGTAGGTGGGAGGGCAGAGAGAGTGAGAAAGAAATAAAAAGTCACAGAAAGACATCCTAAAGGTCCACTGCAGCAGAAAAATGTTAATTCTGCAGTTGGATTTTCTGCCACCTCCTCCTGTGTTGAGAAGGAAATGCTTTACTGTTGCACCACCGCTGGCCTCCCGTCCTGCTCCCTGACAGGAATGTAGAATATAATGCTTTTTGGCACTTCATTGCACTATTTTTAGCATTCGGGACTCTGTCTCCATCCTAAATTGAGGCCTCACTGAGACGCACTAACAGTTATTAATGTTTTGTCTGTCAATGCTCCTCTTGCCCTGTCATTATTCTAGCTTGTCAAAGATGATGAGCTTAGGGCGGCAGTGGTTCAGTCTGTAGGGGATTGGACTTTGGACCGAAGGGTCACCGGTTCACGTCCCGATCAGACCAAACAATACGGAGTGTGGACTGGTACTGGAGAGGAGCCAGTTCACCTCCTGGGCCACTGCCGAAGTGCCCTTGAGCAAGGCACCTAACCCCCAACAGCTCACTGGCGCCGGCTAGACTGGCTGCCTCCGCTCTGACCTCTCAGCTGCATGTGCATGTGTGCATATAACTGTGTGTGTATTTGTATATATATGTGCATGATGTAAAAAGTGTGTACTGTGTGTATAAACCTGTACCTGTATAAAAAAGCATGTGTGTATACGACAGAGTGGAAACTGAATTTGGGACATGTCTCCATGCTTTAATGTTCAAAAAGCTCTTAATATTTTCATACTGCCTGAGCTGCAGCACCTCTTTTCACCCTCTGTCTGAAACCAGAGCCCAGTCTGCTCTGATTGGTTAGCTGGCCGGCTCTGTTGTGATTGGTCAACCAAGATGTCCCGACCCTTAGCCTATCACCTACAATGTGTTGGTGCGCTAGCCAATAGATGCATGAGTGTTATATGATGTCACTACCTTAAGTTAACAAAGGAGTCCAATGGAGGCGTTTCAGGCAGTTCATTTGCCCCTTGCGTTTTCCTTTGACTGCCTACAGCTGCAAATCCTGAAATCAACAAATACATTGTATTGATTCCGGATACCAAACTGTGTTGCTATCTTTCGTAATTTACTGGTATCAAATACTAATAAATGGAGGTACTGGTTTAGGTTGCCTGTTTTCCAATTACATCTGCTGTTGCTGTTGAGGTCACAAGTTGAGCTCTGATTCACTGTCTGTGCAGTAATGACTCTGAGTTTGGTAATAGGACGATTACCTTATCTGCAGGTAATAAATGTGTCACTTACTTCCTTCTGCGGGGGGGATTGTACACAGCACTATTAGGAAACACAAAATCTTCCACAGTGTCACTGCAGCTCTTTTGTAGGAGAAAGGTTTAAGTACAGGAATCTATATGATTGTCGACGATATGCAACGCTGCAGAAAATGGCCTGTTTTACTGTCACTAAAGGTGAATGTAATGGTGTGTTCAGGTCCCCGATGCGGTGTCCTCCAGCAGCCGCTCTCTGCACGACGACAGCCAGGCACAGGTGTGTCTCTCAGAGGAAACCGCCAAGAACGTCAGGAGAATAACCACAGTTTAATATGTTTACTATTATATTACATGATATAAAAATAATGTATACTTTTGTTCTTAAGTGGACCACTAACAAGTATTTGTTCGGTGTAATGTTTTATGTTTTTTTTATAAAGCTAAAGGCTAATGTTATGTGCCTTTAAATGTGTACAGCACAATTATTTTTGAAGTTACATTTGAACAAACTACTAACGATAAGCTGATGCACAGTTCAACTGACAAAAGAAAAGGTTGCTTGGTCTCCTAACCTAAATATTATAAATATATATATTTGTGTTTGTCTGCTTTAAAATGTAATGGATTGTCCCTCACTATGCAAATGCACCTCTGTTATTATATATCCCTGTGTTAATGTATATAGTGTATTGTATAAAATGTTAAAACATGCATATCAACCATAAAAAAAGGGGATAATGACAACAGAGAGGTTTTTTTTTCATACTGCAGATCCTTTGTAACTGGTAAAATATAACAATTATCTACTGAATAAAGAATTTCAAAACATTTATTATTATTTGTTTACCTTTAGCATGTAATGTATCTTTAAACATTTTAAACAGTTTTTTGGAATAAACACAAAACACTTTTAAATGTCCTTAAGGCTATATTAGGTTGCATTTCAAGAAAAAAATGCAAGCTTATTTGAACTTTGGTCTTGGTTTTGCAGCTTTATGGTTAATATTTAAAGCAATTCAGTTAATTGCTGGAATCTGATATTGCTGTAAGATGATCAAACATTTTCTAGATGAACGTAAATATTTAATTTGAAGGTCATATTATCTGTAGAGTTCCATTATCAAACTGTGGCTGCGCACAGGGCAACTTTTGTGTTTACTTGATTCATTTCGGATACAAAACCGTGCAAAGGTGACCGGTGAAAGCAGATAGATATTGATGATAAAGTTGATGCTATCCCCCAAAGATGGCTGCACTGCTGTTCCCATTCCTTTTTTGTCACTTGTGTTTCTCTCGATACTACTGACCGGCAGTGGCGGCTGGTGGAAAATATTTTAGGTGGGGCTGTGGAAATGGTGATCAAACAATACTAGAGGGGTCCGGGGGGATGCTCCCCCGGTAATCTTTTTGGAGAAAAGACCCCTTAAATCATGACTTCTGGTGATGTTAGAGGGGGGGAGAAGGACAATTTGAGGCTTAAAAATATGAGAAGACTGATCAATACCTCCATAACTTCAGTGTGGTTAGCTATGAATCTTCCAAAACTTCCAAACACCTTGTCCTGGACATAGTTTCTACAGCATAAACTGTGCAACAGTACAGTAGGCCCACACAAACTGCAGAACACCGGGGCTTTGGGAACACTGATTTAATTCCCATTTAACCTGTTAAGGGGCTTTTTTCCCCCGTTTTTTTTCTCACGAAACTGTGTCTCAGGGCTTCTTAAAATGTAATAAACTATTCATGTGTCCTACTCAGAGGAAACGCATCTAACTGATGATATGAACCATGTTTACCGAAACAAAACACAAGTCTCACAAGAAGCGTCTAAATGAGCCCTGAGCGAAAAAATGCTAACGCACTCTAGGTATAAATCAATCGATATACTTATCGGATATGCACAAACAAGCTTACAAGCTGAGATTCCACATATTCTAGAAATATAAGTATCATCACTGAGCGATCAGAACTCGCGACAGGGGAAGCAAATACAGACATCACACGATGTAGCTTTAGGTAGCAAAACATGGAGATATGCTCACCTTTTGCAGAATAACAATTCTGATCAAAAACGAGAAAAACGCAGCTGAAGGTTAATCCATAAATTAATCCAATGTGTCTGTCACTTTGAAAAATGATTGATGATCCATAATTCCATTTTTATGTCAAAAACGGAGTTTTCATTAGCTGCTAAATGGTAGCTTCCAGAGTGTATGACAGCTTCCTGTTTTGTCTCCTTGGATACGAGTCCAAACAACTCACAGACTGCACCGGGCGCTCACGTAGGAGCCCTGTGAGCATCATATTTGACGACGCTGATTGGCTGAAATTATGTTTTCGCGGCATAGTTTACACGTTACAGATAGCAACAGTCAGCTGCTAGTGGCTGCTGCTGCACTGGTTGAGGGCTCCTTTCTTAGCGCCCAGACGAGAGAAGGTACACGGGCAAGGCCAGGCAGGAAACATGTGACTTATCAGTAACTTTAGACATCGTAACACAATTTTAAACGAGATTTTATTGTAGATTATACATGTTACTGATACCAATTATATAATATTTACCTTGTTCATTAAAAAAAAAAATAAAAAAAAAAATATTTTTTAAAATATATTTTTTATTTTTATTTTTATTTTTATTTTTATTTTTTAATATGGGAAGAGGTGGGGCGGCGCCCCTAGCGCCCCTATGGACCGGCCGCCACTGCTGACCGGTAAGGTTTGATGTTCCTTTCTTCCACACAAAGTGTTTGCTGAAGTAGATTAATATTAAATAAATAACATGTTTCTGTTACATGTAAATGTGTCTCTGCACTGAAATCATGATCACTAAGAAAAGAGTCTTCCTCCTACAATACTTCATCATTATCAGAGTCGGCCATCATTTGGATCTAATCCTGTTTCCAGGGAAGCCATAATCCAAGATATGCCTCTTTTTCCATTTCATATGTGGAGCTCAATTAATTCCCCAGTAATGGAAATGAAATGGTTATAAATTACAGTATAAAAATGTAAAGCCTGGAGAGTGTAAATTATCACGGCGCTGCAATGAGAGCGATGTGATGGTGAGGCTCTCCGCAGTTACGCATGGAATAACAGATTTATCTCTGCGGGAAGTGGGTGACATAAGATTTGCATTTTATTATAGTAAAGGACGGAGGGGAGTAGGGTGGTGGAGATGAAGGTATATGAATCTGCCAGACACTATAGTTTCACTGTTATAAAATATGACATGCCTATTGCTGTGGTCCACAGAAGAAAAGAAAGGAGATACACATGAATTGTTTTACACATTTCTCTGGTCCCAGTATCATTCAATTGTTTACCACAGTGGGTTATAATCATTGTTTGATAATGTCACAGCTTCTCCTGGATAAGGCTATAGGACTCTTTTAGCATTTCCACATCATTTGTTACCTCCCATAACTGCACTGACACAAGCTTTGAAAACAGAAATGAGAAATCATGCAATTGTCAGCTTGTGTTTTGTTGCATTGGTTTTCATTTCTGTGAAAGACACTGCAAATTCTGATTGGGCCTTTTAGCTTCAGACGTGATTTATCTCTGCTGGCAACCTGAATAAGAAAAAGCTGAAAATGACTACAAGCCAATAAGAAAAATGGCATGGTGGCTAAGTCTCTGCAAATACAAACGCTACTGGAACTAATGCAGTCATTTGCAGTGTGAAGTTTTATAATTTAATTTAAAAATGTCTTAATTAACCAGTGCAGCTAAAATATAGTCTATGCCATGCTAGCTGTATTGTGAGGCTGTGCTTTGGACTAAATGCTAACATCAGCATGCTAAGACGTTTTAGCACTAAACACAAAGTACAGCTGAGGCTCATGGACATTGTATTGGTTTTGCAGGAATTTGGATATATTCTTACCTATTGGACAAATTAAAATTCATACTTAGGAGGACATAAATGTGACCATTCACCATGAGCCTGAGTCTTCCTCATGTCTTCATCATGAGCCTGAGTCTTCATCATGTCTTCACCATGAGCCTGAGTCTTCATCATGTCTTCATCATGAGCCTGACTCTTCATCATGTCTTCACCATGAGCCTGAGTCTTCATCATGTCTTCACCATGAGCCTGAGTCTTCATCATGTCTTCACCATGAGCCTGAGTCTTCATCATGTCTTCGCCATGAGCCTGAGTCTTCATCATGTCTTCACCATGAGCCTGAGTCTTCATCATGTCTTCACCATGAGCCTGAGTCTTCATCATGTCTTCACCATGAGCCTGAGTCTTCATCATGTCTTCACCTTGAGCCTGAGTCTTCATTGTGAGGGAAACTTCTGAAGCAATTGGAAACAGGACTCAGAGAGACACGAGGAGAGCTGGAACTTTGATGGCAAACACTGATGGTTTATTTGGAGCTTGGGCCGAAGAATTCACAAGACATGTCATGAGCCACGAGTTGACCACACGGTTGAGATGCCAAATAAATTCTGAAGAACTCTTCTGTAGTTCGAGGTTTTAACTAGTTTGGAGTGTAATAATCAACATTCTTCATCAGCGAGACTAAACAAATATGGACCCTGAATCTAACTAGAGCTGTCGTCCATAGAAAAGAATGTGCGCCAGCCGCCAGGGAACCTACGTTCCAGAAAAGAAGGGCCTCTAGATGTCCCTGAACAGTAAACTACCTCATGTCAGCTTGTGCTCGGTTATAAGCTGGCAACAACAATGCGCCCAAGCTGCCCCTCCTTAAGAGAGACAGCAGCAATACCCAAGGCCGTAGACCTATGCCATGGGAAAGGAGACAGTGAAAGGAGAACATTATGAACTGTGTCAAACGTTGAATACACCTAAGCACATTTTTTTAAATAAATATGTATTTATTTTTCTTCTAATATGGTGCAACTGTCATAACAATTTTTTTTCCTGGGATCAATAAAGTATTTTGATTATTTATCAAATTGATTTATCATAGTGGGGCTGGACAAAAAGGTGTGTACACCATTTAATGGAAAACCAACTAATTATTTTTGACATATTTCGTTTTTGACCAAAATGGTTTAATAGACGCACCAAAAGACACTATTGTTCCCGACAAGCCTCGACACTGATGCCACTGTTCACAGGGCTTTCACACTGAATACTTATCACAGCACCCTTCAAATGTGAGGCTATGTTTTTTCTGACACTGCTTCAATGCCAGCTCTCTTTTGGATGGATTTCCAGCATTTTTCAGAGAGAGACAAATAAAGATTTGAAGGAACAGAATAGAAGACATATACAAAAAGGTTGACATTTAACTATAATCTTCCCTTGACTCGTCAGTTATGTAGCAACAGCATGCATGCTTGCATTATTGAAAATGGCATGCTGACATGGTTTCCTGCTATTCTCTGCCACCAGATGGCTGACACAGATCTTCACTTTGCAAATCACATCTCGCCAGTGACTGTGAGGAGGAAAGTGTTTGTCCTCCCTCTCCCCCGCTACGCTTTCATCGCCGCTGCCTTCTGTTTTTCTCGCACGAAACGCCTGGCATTGGAGCGGCTGGCTATTAAATAAATGAGGTTTCCTCCAGTGGGCCTGACAAAGACAGGCCTATTACATGACCTGTTTTAGTGTTTTGTTTTCCAGCTTAACCTTAACCCTCCCCAGGGCTTACTGAGGGCCCTCCATGGGGGTCAGTTACACAAAATGCTGCGCTCATATCCTCTGGAGGCATTTAAAGCTAGGACAGGGTTACTTTAAAATAGTACTCCGTTACAAGTACTAGTAACCTGTAAAAATATGTAATCAGTAACCTAATCTGACTATCACAATATAAAAGTAATGATTACTTTCTGTTCACTGAGACTTGTTTCTCTT